CACCTCCCTGCACGTGTAAACTTTTATCTTTTTTCTGACTACTCATATTTATATAAAGGAAAAACCCCAAAAACCCCCCAGAAAAACCCAGACCAGAACCGGACCCTCGCACCCCACCGTGCACCAGACCCGTAACGAGGCGAATGAAAGGACCAGAGACGAACCATGTGGCCTCGGTTAAGGCCCCGCGCCCTGCCAGAGGGACCTGAACAGGGCGCCACCCCGCACTCTGGCAAGGCGCGAGATTATTTGCCAGTTGACCAGGGCTGCCAGGGCAAACTGGCTAGGTCCCCCCGGGCCCCTCCCTACCTGGCGCCCCAGGTGTGCAACCCCCAGTTTATTAACTGTACCCTCAAAATCCGTCTTCAATCCTTTCCCCCGAAACCAAGCCCAGCACACAACAGGGCACTCAAGCCCGGAACTGACCCGAGCTTCCCCGCCGCACCATTAGCTTCCCCATAGGGATAGGTGGATAGGGACAATCAATCAATCAATCAATAGGTTTTATTCGTACTAACAGTACATGCCCTGGTCCCGCATAGCATCACCAGGGCAATGAATACAAAGATATAAAATTTACAAGATTATATTAATAACAAGTAGAATACTATACATTTATGTAGAAAGTGGAAACACTAAATACATCGCAACTCGCGTGTAGAGAATGATCAAAGTAATCAGGCAGCACTTATGCCTGAATAAGTTAGCTGTGTATGTTTTTACAGCAGTGGTTAAATATTTGTTTAGAAAAGTACTTAAAATAATTAAAAATGTCACTGTTGGTGAGAAGTCTATATAACTCACAGGGCCAGGTAATGTCATATTTTTTAAGAGTACATATAAGTTCAATCCTTTCTCGTTGAAAGATAACACAATGATAAAGATAGTGAGTGGGTCCATCTTCAGTATCACATTCCGTGCATTTATTATTGTTTTTGTTGGCAAATCTTGCCAAGTAATTAGCATATTTCCCATGATTTGTCATGACTTGCCTTGTATAGTAGTCTGGTGTAATCCAGCTAGTGTTGATAAAGTTATCAAGTTTTCGAATAAACTTATGCGTTATATGATCTGGGTTTCTATCCCATATATTTTGCCACAATTGTATTGTATCTTGCTTAAGTAATCTTCTTAATGTCCGTTGACTAAGTTTTCTGTAAATTATTTGTTCATTGTCAAGGTAGGTTGCAGATTTGGCTAATTCATCAGCCCTCTCGTTCCCTTTTATGCCCTGGTGGGCTCTCACCCAGTTTAAGAATATTTGGCAATTGGATGATTTTATGTCTCTCCTAATAGGCTCAGCCAATGGGTGTAGTTTGGGACTCATCAATATGTTATAGTCTGAGAGAGAATCCGTGTTTATAGTGGCAGTGATGTTATGATAAGTTCTATTGATAAGTTCTACAGCCTTGCCTATGGCCAAGAGTTCCGCTTGAAAGACAGAACACCTATCGTCAAGTTTATAAGTTTCATTAGCAACTTCATTTTCATTATCATATACTACCATGCTGCACCCTACATTCCCTTCCAGTTTGGACCCGTCAGTAAATATATTTATACTGGAATTTCCAATATCATTTCTTGGGTTAATTCCTTGTCCAATGGAAGATAGCGTGTTTCTGAAGGGAAAACTCCATTCTATTTCATCTTGTGTGTATATTGCAGTATTTACTTCAATGTCTTTTCCCCATTTAATATGGTAAAATTTTTCTTTTTCCAAAATAGTTAAGTCAAGTGGGGGTTTCTTTGCCAGAACCTGTAGGCAACTGTTACTTACTGTGCGAAAAGATTTCTTGATCAGGAGCAATGCTCGTCTCTGAGAAGATATCAACTTGCGCTTGACGTGTACTTTTTGGGTTGCCCAACCCCAAGATCCACAAGCATATGTTGTGACAGGGAGGAAGACACAGTCATATATGATAGACATAGCCTCTGCGCTCAGTCCCCAATCTTTCTTCGCCACCTGCGCATATGTGTTCATGATTAACCCAGTTCGTGTGGTTACATATTTGATGTGGCTATCCCATGAAAGCCTAAAATCCAATATTACTCCAAGGTATTTAATATTTTTTTCTATTTTTATAGTACAGCTGTTCATTTTGATGTGTGGAGGCCTTAGGTATAGATTTTGCTGTCCACTTTTATTAAAAACTATGCCTTTAGTTTTAGCTGGGTTAAATTTCATTCTATGTGTCAATCCCCAGTTATATATTTGCTGTAATATGTTGTTTCCTTTGTCCTCAAGGTCAGCCCTGGATCGACCCCCCCACCAACAGAAAAACATCATCAGCATATGCTATGGAGTAGTGNTTCCTTGTCCAATGGGAGATAGCGTGTTTCTGAAGGGAAAACTCCATTCTATTTCATCTTGTGTGTATATTGCAGTATTTACTTCAATGTCTTTCCCCCATTTAATATGGTAAAATTTTTCTTTTTCCAAAATAGTTAAGTCAAGTGGGGGTTTCTTTGCTAGAACCTGTAGACAACTGTTACTTACTGTGCGAAAAGATTTCGTGATCAGGAGCAATGCTCGTCTCTGAGAAGATATCAACTTGCGCTTGACGTGTACTTTTTGGGTTGCCCAACCCCAAGATCCACAAGCATATGTAGTGACAGGGAGGAAGACACAGTCATATATGATAGACATAGCCTCTGCGCTCAATCCCCAATCTTTCTTCGCAACCTGCGCATATGTGTTCATGATTAACCCAGTTCGTGTGGTTACATATTTGATGTGGCTATCCCATAAAAGCCTAAAGTCCAATATTACGCCAAGGTATTTAATATTTTTTTCTATTTTTATAGTACAGCTGTTCATTTTGATATGTGGAGGCCTTAGGTATAGATTTTGCTGTCCACTTTTATTAAAGACTATGCCTTTAGTTTTAGCTGGGTTAAATTTCATTCTATGTGTCAATCCCCAGTTATAAATTTGCTGTAATATGTTGTTTCCTTTGTCCTCAAGATCAGCCCTGGATCGACCCCCCACCAGCAGAAACACATCATCAGCATATGCTATGGAATAATGATGCCCAAAATCGCTTTGCAAAAAGGTGTCAAAGGAAAGGTTCCATAGCAGAGGTCCACAAACGGACCCCTGTGGACAGCCTCTCTGTATATTCTTAATAACAAAGTGTTCACCATAATCCAGTTGTGCAGTCCTTTCATGTAAATAGTCCTGTAATAACTTTAAGATATTCCGAGGGCATTTAATTTTCCTAAGCTGATATGTGATGAGGGGCCACCAGACGCTATCAAAAGCTTTTGATATGTCCAGGCTGACCCCGAGGACATACCTATGCGCATCCAAAAGATGTTTAACTGTATTAGTCACTTGTTGTATGGCGTCTTCAGCGGACCTTTGTGGTCGGAAGCCATATTGATAATCACTGATCAACCTGTTTCTCTCCACGTGCCACATCAATCTGTTGTTCAATAGTTTTTCCAAAACTTTCCCCATAACCGGCAAAAGAGATATTGGCCTAATATCTCGTGCGGACCCTGGTTTAGGCACGGGGATTACTTTAGCTGATTTCCATTCCCTAGGGAATATTCCCAACTGTAAGCAGGTGTTATACATATTAATTAATTGTTGTGGAATTAAGGTCCATAAGCCTTTCACTATATCTGAAGTAATGTTATCGAGGCCAGGGGCCTTGCCCCTCCCTAAAGTATTAATGGTATAGTTGATTTCTTCTGCAGTAAATGGCTCTGCATCATCAGTATGCTCAAGTTTGTTTTTATCTTCTCTTAATTGTTTGTGCCATTCAGTGTCCTCAGTAGTGTCGTCATCGGGGCAGAAAGAATTTAATTTCTTTATTAGAGTATCCACAACAGATTTAGGGTTTTCATCATTACAGGAGGAAACAAGAATCTGTGTTTTCCGGAGCTTATTGCTACAAAGACGTGTAACAAAACCCCATGGGTTAACTGACGACTTGGTGCAGAAGTCCCTCCAACCATTTACCTTGCTATCTCTGATCGCGTTTTTATATTCTTGCTGTTTCTGTAAGTAGGCCTCTTTATTCGTCATTCTAGTGTTTTCATCATTACATCGTTGGTATTTCCTTCTTGATTGTCTTGTCTCTTTTCTAAGATTAGTAAGTTTCAAGTTCCACCAAGGTACATTTCTTTCTTTTGGTTTCTTCATGGGTATAAAAGTTCTGCAGGCCTGATCAATAACTGCAATGTCTTGATTCAATTGCTCCCTAGCCTCCAAAGGGTGTCCAGAATAGGTTTCAGTCATGTTATTGGATAAAAACTGTTTCATTCCTTCCCAATCCGCTCTATTTGCAATGTACCGGTAGCATTTAAAGTGATGCTGTGTGTAAGAGCAATCATTACTAGTCAAATCGAATGCAATGTATGCATGTTCTGTAAGACTTGGCTCTTCAAGAATTCTCCAGTTCACAATCCTAGGAAATAAGTTCTGACTACATGCGGTGACATCAATCCAACTTTCCCCTCTACTCGAGGAGAAAGTCGGTGGGGAAAGTGGATTATTAATTACCAGTAAGTTATTCGTGGCAAGAAACTCTTCAAGTATGCCTCCCCTGGGATCTTGATTGTCGCCACCCCACATCGGGGAGTGGGCGTTAAAGTCACCAGCCAGCAAAATAAGAGTATCTTTAAATGCATTTATAATGTTCTGTAGTTTCCTCAAAAAGTCCTGTACCTCTGTTTCTCTCGGAAAGTAAACATTAATAAGAATAATTCTTTCGTTATTGATCATTACTTCGGTAGTAATAACATATTCATCACAATAATATTCATGTTGCATGATTGACAGCCCAGTATTCGGAACCAGTGTAGTAGACCAAGGATACCTCTCAGAACCGGTAATTACTGGATAATAAGTGGGTAAACAGGATGGGGAGTTATCACGACAGTAAGGCTCCTGTGCCATTATCAAATCAAAATGCAGTAATTGTTCACAGAGTAAAGAAGTGGCAGCTATACTTCTACCCACATTGAATTGCAGTATTTTAATTTTGGTAGAGTTAACAAGGTCCATAGTCTGTTCTGGAAGTAACATTGTTTTTTATCCGAGTATAGATAGGACATGTAGTATCCCTTGCATTATGGTGATGATTGTTTCCCTTCTGTCGTTTACAATTATTACATGTTGGCTCTCTGTCCTTATTTGGGCATTCTTTATAAAGATGAGCCTCGGAACAGTGACTACAAGTTGGTTCACTGTGTGGGCATTCTTTCGCAGTATGGTTAAACTCATTGCACCGGAAGCACTGTAGGATCGGGCAAAAGTCCGCGACCCTACAGCGCGACCATTCTATATTAATTTTTGCCTGTTGCAAAAGTACTTTTCTTAGTACTGGAGAGACCTCCACAGTCCAGTTCTGGAATGGAAGACCTTTTTTCCCTATAATAAACTTAACTCGAAACTGTTTTTGAAACTCTTCTTCACTCATTATATCTCCAATTTCTTCGTTTTGCTGGAATACCAGCGATACCAGATCCTCTTTATTTATATCCGAACTCACCGAATAAATGACTAAGAAGGGCCATCTCTTCCTAGGTCTCTTTGTAACTAGTTCAGGTACCTTTGTGACAATTTGTTCCTCCATGGTTGCAGCATCCCCGTTATTACACAACTCAATGGCCACCCCTCCATCGGCAATTTTCCTGATTCTTTCCACTCCTATCTTCATAGTTGATGGCTTAAGCTTTTCCTGAATCGTTTTCCTCACTGCATCACTTGTCAAAGTTCCTTTTTCCTTTCCATACACCAACACAACTTCATTTGGTTTTCTTTGTTTTAGAAGGGCTCTATTAGTATCTACGCTCCCTCCAGATTTCACTATATCACTGTATGTTGGAAATATTGTCTTAGGTTCAGATCGAGTATCCATCTTCTTCAATTGTTCTAGAATTTCTTTATGAGAGTTAGCCACACTGTCAGTATTATCTTCATTTTTAAAATCTTCCTTTGTGATCATGTTAGATAGTTTGTCGTTAATTTCTTTAAAGTAGTCATTTGAAGACAGGGCGGCTTCGGCAAGGGCAATTACACTTGAAAATTGACTAAGAATATATTGTGTGTGGGCCACCACACTAAATTTTCCATTCGGGTTGTCAGAGGTATATTTCTTTACCTCTTCCAGTATTTCATTGGCCCTCTTAAGAAAGGAATCCATGCTATGCTTACAATATACCAAAGAACCAGTTGAAACCCTCGTGTTATTGTTATATACCTACACCCAAGCTGAAGATTGTTTTGTCAGTGGGAACCTAGGTTCCAAGCCTCTCTGCACAGTCAGGTTAACACCCAAAAGTGCAGAGTTGAAAAGATAGATAAAGTCTATTTAAAACTAATTAAATACTAATTAAACTACCTTAATCTAAATCACTTAACAAAAGTTCACAAAAGAAGTTCAAAACAAATATCTTCTTTATCTAAACGTTTGTAAACAATCCGAAAAACGTCAGACAGTAAACATCTTTTTCTCCGTGACGTCAGCAAAAGTCGTTGGAAAAACCGTTGCGAGATAGGTCAATGAACTCTGTAGTGTAAACTGGTTAAAAACTAAAATCGCTGTAACTTCGTAAGTATCCAGTAGAATGAAGTCAAACTCCGGGAAAGCAAAGGGTTTTAGCCCTTCTCCGAACGACCCGCAAGTCAGAAGCCTACGTCGACGGAAAAGCCCGATGCGGGCCTCCAATGGTCCGGGACAAAAAGCGCGATTGCCAAAAGGCAAGTGGTCCAATCAGTACCAAATTTTACTAGGGGACTAACCTTGAGACCGGTGGTCCATAGCCGTCGCCCAATCCGGTTCACCGACTGCCACAAGTCCGGAAAAACGGTCCGAATGTCCGGAGTCGTAAATCTTCTGTAAATAGGTAAATAATTGGTCCACAGACAAAATTCTTACACCAAAAGAAGCATCTCGATTAGAGGAACCCAGAAAACACAAAAAATCCGCACCAAAAACAACAAAATCCACCGAAAACGCGAACTAAATCGGAGCACGATTTATCCACAGCCACCAGTCCAATGGAACGGTCCACTAGTAGTTGATAGGGACATTTTCATTTTCATTTTGTCGGAACTCGTCTTCCATCGAGGCAATCTTTGCCCCGCCGGGTTGACAGTTCCATTTTGTTGTCACCCCGCTTTGCATAGCTTTGCAGGGTTGTGATACAATACATAAGGGTACAAAATTATTACAACTAAACAATTACAATTAAAAAATTTGCGCGACACTTGTTCTTCCGCGATACCGGAATACATTTAACACAGTCGTTGTTGTGTGGTTGGCACTGTTAGGTGGTAAATCACCTTCAAACCTTTTTGAACTTATGGTAAAGTTTAATAATGTTTATAAAATGTGGATACAAGCGTTTGTCGTCGATCAGTTGGTCCTTCTGGACTGGCCATTGTAGTTGGAGTAGGTCACAGGTGGCTTGAATGTCCAATCTGGTCCTTTCCAGTCTAATACAGCGTAGTAGTACATGGTCCGGGTCTTCTTGAGTACCACAGGTGTCACATCGGTCGGTACTTGAATGTCCCAACTCGAATAGATACTTGTTGAAGTAGCCATGTCCAGTCGTGAATGCCGAAAAGTAGTGGTTCACACAAAGATGTTTGTTTAGTAGTCGTTGAGTCACGGATGGAAAAAAGGAGAATAACTCGCGGCCCTTCATCGAGGTAGCCCAGCGAGCTTGCCAACGGGATAGTTGGTGTTTCTTAATGAGTTGTTTAACACTTGCAATCGGTATTCTTTTGTATGAGGGAGAGAGGGCTAAGGTCGTGCCCTCTTTGGCCAATTTGTCGGCCACCTCATTGCCGGTAGTGCCGGCATGGGCCTTAACCCAAACGAAGAATAACTGAACCTTTCGATTGCTTTGGTTGGCGGCAATCAGCCGTTTCCAAACCATATTGATAAGCCAATGCCTACTGTTCATGTCCTGTATAGCAGCCAGGGCCGCTCTGCTGTCTGTGCAGATATGGAGGGCACTCTGGTAGAAGTGCCTTTCCATCCAGGTGATCGCCATCAAGATGGCAAGTACTTCCGCTTGGAAGTTGCTGCACATTGGGTGCAGCCTTCTAGTTTGGCTGTAACTTAGTTGATGTTTGTAAAAGTAAGCAAAGGCAGCTCCAGTGCCATCAGGGCTTCTGGAACCATCGGTATAGACTCGTTGGTTGTGTGTTGGGTCGTAGTCAATCACCGTAATGGTGGGTATGTCCCTTAGGCGGGGTCTCGCCTCGACTCGGATGGGTCGCTCTAGCGATGCACCTTCCGTAGAAACGTAAGCAGGGATGATACCCTTTATTTTTGCCATATATATGGCGCCTTTTTCTTGCACTAAAATGTCCAGCGGGGGAACCCCTGCCAGGACCTGCAGCGCATCATTTGAAGTGGTGCGAAAGGCACCAGTGATGCGAATCAACGATTTCCGTTGTATGGCCAGGAGCTTACGGGCAGAATGACAGTTTTCAACCCTACCGCACCATGCGGCCGCTGCATAAGTAACGATAGGTACCAAAGCACCTTTATAAATGAGGGTCAGGGCTTCACCCGTGAGGCCCCAGTCCCTCCTTGCCACCTTTGCAGCCCATGCAAACAGGTGGCTGGTCTTTTCGTATAAATAGTTTATGTGGTAAGACCAGTTTAGCTTATTATCTAGCATAACTCCTAGATATTTCATTTTTTCTTCAATAACTATAGGTTTTCCACCCATCTTAAGGACCGGAAGCCTTCTCTCTGCCTTATATTTGGTGAATAAAAGACAGGTTGTTTTGCTCGGATTAAATGAGAGCTTGTTTTCGCTTCCCCAGTTACTGATCTTCTCGAGCAGATTGTTTACATTGTGTTCCAACTCCATCCTGCTGTTTGCAGGGCAAATGAGTAGGAGGTCATCAGCGTAAGCCGTGACGTTCACCTCCTTCATGAACCTCTGACACAGAAGGCCATCCAGGACCAAGCTCCAGAAAAGTGGGCCGGAGCAAGAGCCTTGGGGACAGCCCATCGTAACCCTTCTGGTGACGGTGGTTCCGCCGTAAGTGAGGGTAGCAGAACGGTTGGTAAAATAGTCACAAACTAGCTGGTATAGGTTATTCGGACAGTTCTGGGTTTCTAATTTACACAATATCAGGGGCCACCAGGTGTTATCGAAGGCCCCTTGAATATCGAGACTTATAACCGCCGTCCAGCTATAATACACTCTTGCCACCTCAATGCTCTTTACGACATCGTAAATGGCGTCTTCCGCTCCAATGCCTTCTCTGAAGCCAAATTGCCGATGGCTCAGGGGGCATGAGCGCTGCAGCCACTCGGTAAGCCTCCGAGTGACTAGCCTATCGAGCGCCTTCCCCATGACAGGGAGGAGGCAAATGGGTCTATAACTTTTGACTGAAGTGACGGGCTTGTTATTGCCTTTATAAATTGGGATGATGTTTGCCACTTTCCAGGAGCTAGGGAAAACTGCGTTTTTAAGACAGCAGTTGAAGGCCTCCCGCAGTATAGTTGGGTGCCTTTGGTGAATTTCTTTAGTTATTTCACTGGTAAGGCCATCCTGACCTGGTGCTTTACCATTTTTAAGTCGCTGGAGTGCCCATGCAACCTCCGCGGAAGTAAAGTCTGGGTCGTCTGGACCCATTGACTTGTAGAGAAGTCCATTTCTGATTCGTCTCTGTGTTGGACTATCCTCTTGCCTGTTATCAGGCTTGAAGAACTCAGAGAGTAATAAATCAAGGCAATCGGCAACACACTGCACGCGCGTGCCGTCGCTCTTTTCAAAGTCCAGAAGCTGGAAACTTTTCTTCAGCTTGCTGGTGCCTAGTTTGTAAAGTAGACCCCAAGGGTCGCTGTTACAGGAGGTGCAGAATCTCTTCCAGCTGTTGAATTTACATTCCTTAATGTGTTCTTTATATTTCCGTTCCTCATTTAAGTAATCAGTCTTTAGCTGTGTTTTCTTGTTGTCATCCGTGCAGTTTCTGTATCTTCGGCGTTTTGCGGTGACTTTACTTTTGTGAGCCTGAAGTTCGGCACACCACCATCTGACAATCTTCTCCCTTGGTTTATAACGGGGGATGGCCGTGCTAACACTGTTGTTGATATTACTTATAAGGTCTTTCATTTTTTGTTCCGCTTCTATCCTGGTGGTAATGTTGTCAAAGTGATAGTTTTCCTTCTTTATTTTCCCAATGATGTAATCCCAGTCTGCAAGGTTGATGTTGAATTTCCCGATGTCCTGAGCGATGTTAACTTTGGATATCCTATATGTGAGGTACCTGTGGTCCGAGAGCGATGGATCCGGTCGTACCTCCCAGTCATTGATATGCTGTAGAGCCAGATGGTTACATATGGTCAGATCCACATTCGATGTTCCATTCACCGTCTCAAAGGTGGGCAGGTGCCCTGGTTCGTTTAATACGTAGAGATCTTTAGCATGGATGAAATCCTCCATTTCCTCGCCTCGATCGTCCGAGTTGTCCTCGAACCAGAGGTAGGAGTGAGCATTAAAATCTCCCGCAATTATAAGTTTATGAGTCAGTTTATAATGGTCAACAACCTCTTCCAGCCCGCGAAGAGAACTCCCAATGTCGTCCTCCATTGGAAAATAGGCACTTCCAACAATCCAGCTATCCCCTTTGTTGTTGCAGATTTCAATAAAGGTTTGGAATTCATTTGAATATCTTGTCAGTAGGATGCAGGATAAGTTCGGGTTGTTAATACAGATCAGCGTCCAGGGAGGACCCTGTGTACAGTGGTAGAGCTTTTTAGACCTGACTGGCCAACCATACGGGATACCACCTTTTTGGTAAGGCTCTTGAATTAATAACACGTCGGCGTTATTATTTGCCCACGCGACCATCTGCGATACCGCAGCAACTCCACGGCCAAGGTTTGCCTGCGCGATGTTTAGATATTCGGTCTGACAAGGATTATGACTGTCGACATGTGGTAAGTGACTACTATCCATAGTCGATCCTTGCTACTATCGCTTTGACTACCTTTTGTCTTTCGGCACAGGTCGGGTGGTTCGCTTTGTGGGAAAAGGAATTGGACTTGTTTCGTATGCAGTTAATACAGCTGGGTGCTGTATTTCTGTTTTTGCATTCGGCATATCGGTGATCGCCACCGCAATGGTTGCAGTGGCTTCTATCACTTTGACATTCACGGGCAAAATGTCC